TTAATAACAAAGAAGGAAGTATCAGCAGGTATAAAATTTTCTGTGTAAGAACACAAAGCACCTCAGGATGTTGTAATATAGTAAATATGGTGGGTATACCAATTATATCTTTACCATGAAGACTATAAAATCATTAAAGGGGCTGTGAATGTAGCTCCCTGGTATAGCACTCATCTAGTATGCCAATGTGGTAGGCTTAATCCAGCACACATGCACACACACACACACACACACACACACACACAGAAATAATGAAATTATGTTAAGAGAAAGACAAAATAAAAAAGTAAAATGGATATGAAAATTCCGAGTGTGCAGAAGAGTCCAAGTGTAGTTTTTAAAATTAGTATATTTTCTCTGGTTTTTGTTTCATTTCTATTCTTATGATCATGTATCATTTTTAGTTGTAATCACTTCAAAATAGCTTGTTAGTCAAGAGATGCTTTTTGTAAGCCTCATGATAACCTAAAGATCTGTAACAGACAAACCAAAAAATAATAAGCAAAACAGGCTACTGTAGTAAATCTCTTAAACCCAAAGAAAGACTGCATGACAGAAAGAAACTACAACAAAACTAGAAAACAAGTTACAAAATGATTGTAACAAGAACTTATTTGCCAAAAACTAGCTTGAATATAAATGGATTAAATCCTCTGATTCAAATATGTACCATAACTAAATGGATAAAACATTAAGAACCCAAATATGTGTTACTTACATGAAATTCACAACCCTTCTGAAGAAACACATACTGAAAATAAAGGAATACTATAACATATTACATGCAACAAATTCCAAAGAAAGCAGGATTTGCCATAATTATATAAAATAAACCTTCAATCAAAAGCAGTAGAAAGAGGAGAGGAAAGGGGAGCCAAAGGAAATACAGTAAATTCTTAGATTGTGAGTAACTTGTTCTGTGAGTGTTCCATAACATGAGCAAACATCTCTATAAATTTTAACTCGACAAATGAGTGATATCTTGCAATAAAAGTAGTATGTGATGGCAAACATCACAAGACCACAACTGAGCCAATGGCGCTCTCTCTCTCTCTCTCTCTCTCTCTCTCTCTCTCTCTCTCTGCAGGATTACAGGTGATCGTCTCCCAGCAGCAAGAGGTTTTGGAGGAGATCTCCTCCAAAAGAAGATGAGGAGAAAAAGAAAGTGGAGCCACTCACTTCAAATGAGTTAGGGAGATTTGTAAAATATGGGGGAAACAGTATAAAGTTTTGTAGAAAAGCATCACCAGATTCCACCACCTGCCTTGCAAGTGCAAGGTCCTGAGTTCGATCCCTGGTACCAAAAAAATGCATCACCCAAATGTCTTAGTAACTTCTCTCATTGTTGAGATAAAATACCCAACACCCAAATTTAAAGGAGGAAAGGTTTATTTAGCTCACAGTTTGTAGAGGTTTCAGTTCATGGTCAGCTGGATCCAAGGCAGGGTGGCATGGCAGAAGGGCATCGCAGAGGAGAAACAGTTCAATGATGGACAGAAGTCAGCAAAAGCAATGAGCAGAAGGCAATAGCAGCAGCCCTCATTCTGTCCCTTATATATTTTTTGTGACATTTAATACCAAATACTGTATCTACTGATGAGTGAGTGGTTAAACAAAATGTGGTATATACACACAACAAGATATTATTTAGCTTTAAAAGGAAGAGAATCTGAGATGTTCACAATATGAAGGCACTGGAGGATACAGTATGCTATGTAAAATAAAGCAATCATAAGAATCCCAGATACTGTGTGATTTCACTTGTATGAGGTATATAGATTAGTTAAGTTTATAGAGAAAAAAATAAACTCCACTGGGGTAAGGAGAGGGAGGAATGGGGAGTTGTTTAATGGGAGTAGAACATCTTATTTTTATAGTGAAAAGAGTTCTAGAAATGTATGGTGGTGAGGACTGCATGACAATATGAATTTATTTAATATTATTGTGATGTACCATAAAATTGTTGAAATGCTAAATTTTATATTGTGTTTATTTTGTCAAAATATAAAAATTTGAAAAGATAAGGACTATTATAAGCAAAGGAATTAGAAATGTTTAGCTACAAAACATTGTTTTCTGGATCTAATGCACTGGTTAGAAGTCAATTTTATTTCTCATTTAACAAATCAGCCAAAGTAATTTGTGTACATAGTCTCAGATCTAATGTACCAGTAAAAACCAGATTATATTTCATTTTCCTATAAAATAAAAAGTGGACACACTAAAAGATTATTTATATTCTGATAAACATTCCTTTTTTAAGTGAATCAAAAAAATGGAATTTTAAAACTAACCAAACATTATGTCTTCCAAGATATAAATAATTTTGTCTAGCCCATTTGATAATTATAATTATGTCCATAGAAAATTAATATAAGGTTCTCAAAACTATACTAATAAGTTATAGTATTAATAATTGATATAAGAACCTTATAAAAAAACCCTCTCATATGGTCTTTTATTTTTTTTCTGGAGCTCCTCTGAAATGGTATGCGGGGGTCTTAACACAGACATGCAAAGACTTCCAGAAAAAATGGCTGTTATATGGAAAGATGGAAGCCAGAGAAACCCTAGTTATCTTCCCACTCTTTTCCAAGCACAGCACCTCTGATGGATCCTCACTTCTGACAGGCCCAGGGGTAAGAGCAGCAGACAGCTCCAGAGAGCTGTGACCCATTCACCAGGCACCAAAAGGATTCATCACACACAAATTTCCACTGGTACTAATGGAAGTTATTATAGGGAATTTTTATCCTAAAGGTACGAACTAAAGATTGTTTTCTGTGTTATCCACTTTGAATGAATCTCTCCTTTTGTCCTACAGAATTCATAGTAAGGAATGTTTCATTAGGAATAAATATCAGTACTTCAGATATTCAAAATAATTTTGCAGGAAATGGTGCTTTTACTGATTTATGAATTTCAGATATTCCTTTTGAATTCTCAATAGTATGCTCTGGACCTCTTTTATCCTTTCTTCCAGTGGGTATTTAGGCAGTACAACTGATTTTAATATTAGGTTGACATGCTACCATTGTTAGTCATATAATACACGGCAAAACTAAGTAAGAAGAAGGGCTTCTCTTTCCTTTTCTTTTCTGTTCTCCTGCTTTTTAAAATTTGCTACCTGAGTTATCAGTATGATGAAAGCAAATTGCCATGGAGCAAACATAGCATTATCTATTGGGAACTTTCAGGATACTGAAGTGGATAATTTAGGAAGCTCTTGATTTGCTTGAGCTGTGTCAACTGGATGAGTGTCCATGTCCTCACTCTCTTCCTGCACCTCAGCTTTGCTGTACTCTGTGCCCATCTTCTCTGAGTCAGATAAGGTCATTATGCATCATTGTCTCCAGGAAGGAATGATGCAATGGAATACAGAACTGAAAAGGCTTCATTCTCCTATTCCTGAGTTTCAAAAGCCTCAAGCTCAAAGTGAAGATGTAAACTCCCAGGAACCATAGCAGCGGCATGGAAAGTGATGGAGGCATCAGAGTAGGAGTTTCCACCTCTGAGACTAGATAACAGTGCCCAGGGGAAGGGAGAGTGGGGAAAGGGAAAGGAGTTGAGTAGTTAACTGTTTCTGCACACATAGTTTCATCACATCAGATCTCTGCAGGGGTTTGGGGCAAAGAAAGAATCGGGGAGCAGACAGAACCTGAGTGGTGCTCCCGGAGTGGCTGGGAAGCACGGGTTTCCACAGAAGAAATGCAGCCAGTGGGACTGGAGAGATGAGAGCTATCGTGTGCTTTCTCCCTGCCTCAACGTGGCGTAGTACAGTGTCCCCGAGTTTCTAAGGGAGAAGGACTCAGGTGAGAAGGCTTACCTCACAGAAGGGGAACTTTAATAGCACCTAACTGAATTGACTTAAGTCAAAGTTCAAGAGAAGTAGAGAGCTTTTCAAAAGATATCAGAATCTGATGAGGAAAGGCAGATTATTTCAGCTTAAATTTGATACTGTTTTTCTGAAAGTCCTGCAGTACTTATGTTACAATTCCAAGGTAAGGGAGATGCCAGAATGAGAAACTGGTCCAAGTCAATGTCCTCCGAATGCCAGATAAGAGGCCCTACATTAGTTAAGCAGCATATACACCTCTACGTACAGAGGAGTCTACCTGCTTCGTAGGAAGAGTGCAAGAAAGGCGTGGTTACCATGGAGAAGTGGAAATTAGTCCTTATTGGTCTTCAGAAGCATTACACAGAAGCGTATAGAAGACAGTAGTATTTCCTCTTCCATACTGTCATCCTCATTGCAAGAGAGCAAATAAAAATAAAACAAGTAAAAGACACAAAAATAGTGACCAATGCCCCCATTGTTCCAGAAAGCGTGCTAAGTGCTATAGTAAAAATGAGAATTTCATTCTCAAAAAGCCAAAGTCTAGCACAAGAGAAAGATAAATATATTAACTTTGATACATTTAAATGTATCTTTTCTAGTGGGAGGTCCTGCGTTGTATATAGTGTCCTGTATTTGACATCTTTCCCTAAATCTGCATAACCACCAGCTGGAGCTCCTGTGACCTACATTCCCCATGCTGCAGGAGTTTGGGTCAGTGACCACAGAGATCCATCTGAATGCTGACATTCTGCAGGTTCGTGACAATGGAATCCTGACAAAGTGATTGAAACACTAGAATACTTACACTGCATGAATGTTCATAATAAAGACTAGTTTAAGCACAAATTCTTTGATTATGCTTAGTAATTTTGAAGACCCATTCTCATTTTATTTTGTTTGAAATTTTTTCAACACACTACATACTTGTAGTATTACATTATTTGGCTCCCAGACAAGAACTCATTCCCACTTAAATTACTTCAGTAAATATTTCTATATCAAGAACAAACACATATCTAGGAATTCATAATGCTTAGGCTACACCTTTGCTGAGGTGGACGCACGGGGGCCTTTGTCTAAGTGCAAAAGGACAGAGAAGCCTTTCAGTAAAACAATCATCCTCACAGGCTGCGACTTCCAATCTTTCATAAGGAAATCTTACCTAATCGTTGAAAGTGTATGCTGATTTGGATGACACATGCTAGATGACTAGAGTCAGTTTTCGCAGTACAGGTGCAGGCCGCGGCTTCTGAGCAGACAAGGCTTTCGGTAAATGTTCTGCTCTGAGATCAGCATTTGTAATTTAACTATGTAGTTTCAAGAGATACTCACAGAAATTCAGAGAGGAAACTTTCGAGACAAAAATAAATGAAACAGTAAGTATTCAAAGCAACAATGTGTGTTTTTTCAGGTAGAGATTAAAATCCCCACTGAGGATTGAAATATGCTGCTGGTTTTGATGTGGTGGATTTACGCCTGTCATCAGTATTTGTATTTGCACCTTAATGGTGAGTAAAATGAACTTTCTTATTAGAAATACAATAATATGATGCAATTCCACAAATATTTCTGAGCACTTGGTATTTTCCTGGTCCTGGTCTGGGCATAAAAAGATGAATGGCAAGAGTGCCTCCCTTTATAGAGTTTACAGTGAAGAATGAAGCAGCATAAAGACATAATCACACACAATTTCTAGGGCAAAGAACAGAAAATATGAATAATAAAGTAGAAAACTCAAAACAAGGGAGGGTGTGGAGATGGGCATTCAAATGCAGTGACCTGCATAAAACTCTGCTGTTGCACAGGATACACAAGATTAACTCTCCTATTCTTGAAAAATTCTTTCTAATTTTTTAGGGAGCAGTACATCTTACTATGTACAGCTTTTCCAGTTTCCTTTTCCCAGTTATAATACTTCTACATGCAATCTAAATATAAAGAGAACTTCAGGGGTGAATTTTAATGGTTCTTTTTTCCACTACCCATCCTGTGTTTTAATTGGTGTCCTTAGTCTGATGACTACTGAATTTGTAGCCATACCATCCTTCACCTCTTAGATCCAGGTTGGTGTATCCTCTTAGGGGTCTTTACATGGTCATTTAGTTGGCATCCCAGCGGTTACACTTTAGATCTAAAATCTGTTTCCCAGAACTCATGTGGTAAGGGAAAGGGCTTATCCCCAGCTCTCTACTTCCCAGTGGATTAATCTATTCATGAGTTCATTGTTGAAAGTGCTGCCCTGAGGTGGGGCCTGGCTGGAGGAGGTCATGGAGGTGACTTGGGAGTGACCTTTCCTCAGCTCCTCCCTTCTCTCTCTCTTTTCTGGTGCCCTAAGTGGAGACCCTTCCCCGTGCCACACCCTCCCACAGTGACATTTCTGCTTGGAGCCTGCCTACTCTCTGAAATCTTGAGCCAAAATAAACCTCTCTTCCTTTAAGTTGTGGATGTTGAGTATTTCGTCCAGTGAAAGTGATCAATCCACTAGGTATATGAAAATAACAATGTGAGGCTATTTTAACCCTATCCTTTACCCCACGTACCCCCATCCCAGTTAATGCCAACAGTGGGCACAGCACTCTCAAGCGCTGATGCAGGAATAGTTGTCAGTTCCTTTTGCCTCCCTCTTTTGCTTCAAGTCCAGTGCAACATCAAATCTTGTCAACTTTTCAACCAAATTATCACACTTAAACATTTTCTCTATTTCTATTTTTACTATTGATGTACAAGCCAAAAACTTGCCACTATATTAATGTCAATTCTTAAACATAACTTTGTTTATAGTCAAAAATTAATTAATATTTTCTTTGAATTAAATAGATACTACCAAAATAAATTTACTAAGGAATCAATTCATTAATTGGTCAGTTTATTGAATTTGCAAAATATTTCATTTACCTCAAATATTTTAAAAATAAACTAATCAGCTTAAAATATATTTTTTAATATATTAATCAGAATCCAAGTGTCAAAAATGAAAATTCCCTCAAACACATTTACATGAAGTATTTATATAGTTTCCAGCATATCATGATACTTGGGTAGGTTCAAGAGGCTTTGAGCATTTTTTAATTGAAAGATGGATTGATTCCCAGTAGTATTAAGACTGCTAACTCTTACTCCCACTGTTTTGCAACAAATTTATTAGAGTAGTTCATTCAAATGTCTATTTTAAGAATCATTCACATTTCAGACCTTAAAAAAATCCTTCAATATTAACACACCTGAGCTTACTAATGCATATGCGACTGAAAAGTTATTGAGAGGTAGAAATTTATTTTTGTAAAATCCCAATATTGTATATATGTCCAAGAAATATCATTAGAAAGGCAAAAGACATTCTTATTCTCAAACTAGTGAATTTTCAAATAATCAGAAATATAATAAATTTTGGTTAGTTAGGTAAAATATATTATAAGTAAAAAATAAACAATATACAAATAGACAAAACAAGTTGCTGATCGAAACATGTAAAGGATCTTTAAAGTTATCAAAATCATTAAACTATCAATATATCTCTAATCCTTATAAATAAATAACATTTTTCTGTGAACTTGTAAATTTAGGAAATTTGTCATTCAGTGTATTGATCATTTGGCTTATTTATGAATTATTTCTTAAAGATTCAGTCATTTTATGATTGATGTATATTTTCTCTTAGACAAATGGAGCTAAAATCACACGTTCATTTTATCCTCTTTGGAATGCTACATTTCTAACTAGTGTTTATCTTCTCCTTTGGTTCCTTGAAATTCAACAGATTCTCTTTCTACCCAGAAAAGCAGAAATTCATTTTGATTTTGCCACTGCCCATTCAGAATCTGTGAGGTCTGAACTCCTTACCTGAGCCTCAGCCTCTCTGGGGACACCCCGACTGTACCCCAGCTTCCACTCTTCCTCTTTATATTGCACTTTAGTCACTTTTCTTTCTGTCCCACTTCAGAAGACAAAATATTTTCTGTCCATGATCTTTGCTTTGGTCTCTCTGACTGAAATATTCTTTTCCTGCTTCCTTTTTATTTCAGAATATTAGTTCATTAGATAATTATTGCTATTTATCTGTTTTAAACTGCCTCCATTACTCCTCATTGCACTAGCCTATTATTTTCCTTTCTAATTGTACTTCCAAGACTTTTTTTTTTTTTTGGTACCGGAGATCGAACTCTGGTCCTTGTGCTTGCACAGCAGGCGGTGAAACCACTGAGCTAAATCTCCGGCTCCCAAGACTTTTTATTTATGTATTGTGAATGTTTTGTTAGGGATAAACTCAGCTAATTCATCACCAAGGTGGTAGTATAAAGAATATCGCTTATAGAAACATACTTTAAAACTCTAAGAGAGTTAATATACTTTTAAAGAATAAATATCATATTAAATATAATTTCTTTTTACTAACATTGTAACAGATCACAATCTAGATATTGCAAGTCAATAATATTGACAATCTTAATACTGATCTTTTCAATAATCCAGGGAATATCTTTGCTGAGATTAACCAAAGGACTTTGATAGAACCTCAGATTTATGTTGTCATAACTTAACTATTTCTACAGAATGAAAAAGCTAGCTCTCACGGATGGGGATTAAACTCAGTGGTTTCACCCCCTGCTGCGCAAGAGCAAGGACCGGAGTTCGATCCCTGATACCAAAAAAACCCCAAAACAACAACAACAACAACAAAAAACAAACCAAAAAACAAAACAACAAAAAAAGAAAAAGCTAGCTAGCTCATAGTTGTTCTCCCATTTGTTTAAGTTTTTAATTAATCAATAATTAAGCTATACTTTCTAGTCATGGGTAAATTAAAGAATAAAGGGATTGTAATTTTGTTTCTCCAACCCAGTCTTGTAAATTTAATTATAAAATCTAAACCAATCTTGTAAATTTTATTATAAAATACTCTTGAGAGGTGATTGAGAATGAATTAGAGACAGAGTACTTGAAAGATTAATGTTTTAACAGCTCATATTTAAGTTTTAATGTGAATGTAAATGTGAAAAATGTTTGAGTGTGTAACTTCATTTATTTGATTATCATATACAGATTAATCATGCCATCGTTCAGCCTCCATTCATTTTCTGTATGTCTTTGTTTCATTTTTTATACTGTTATTGACAAGAGTGTCATGTGAGAATTAACTTCAGGTAGAAAATATAATTCATCCAAAATAAATTATTGTATTAAAAAACCCCATTATGTCCCTTTTGATTCTATACTTCTATGTCAAAAATCTTACTCAAGTGGTTGTATCAACAGTTGATAAAGGTAAGGAGTCAAAGTTTACATAAGTGAGAGTCTATATCATAACAGAAGAGCATTAACACCTTTATTAGAAATGGAAAAATAAAAATTGATTATTGAATGTTACTATTTTCATGAAATATCATTAAACAGCATGCTGCCAAAGAAACAGAGGAATGAAATAAAGCAAGCTAGCATGTTTCCAGAAAGACTAGCTAACAAAATATTACACAGACTGAGCAAAATGCTCCAAGCTAATAGCCCACAGAATGGTGGTAGTATGAAATTTATAATTTGGCTGTGAGGTCAAGATTTTCACAGCTGCCACTCTAAATGTCAGTTCTTCCACCCTGTCACAGTGAACAAAATGTGAGTCCTGAGATGAAACCAACAGGTTTGTCATCAGTGAAACTCATTTTAAGTAAATAGTAAGTTGTGATTCACAATGGCATTACAGCAGATTCAGGAATCTTGCCATTTGTTCAACTCCATGAGCAGCAGGGACAGTAAAATCTAGGGCCTGCCATTTACAACACAAGACCCTGTAAGTCCTGAGGCAATCAAATCTTTGGTATGGGTTCAATACAGCTACATTCAAATAAACTTGTAGAAAAACAAATTAATAAAGGATTGCTAAGTAAGTGCTTTATGCAAAACTGAGAAAAACCAAAATCACAGCTGAAAAATGAAATTCTATAAGGCCACGCTGAAGCACAATTTCAAGCAAAAAGCATAGCCAATGACTGCTGGGAAACCATAGCAACAGGCAGACCAAGCTGGCATGTGAGTCATCTGAGATGGGGTGATTCTTGTAAGGGAGGAAGCTGAGCAGTAAACAGGATCCAGCCTGTGAATATGAAGCTAGCACATGCCCTCGCTTTTGGAGAGGAATGAGGCCTTGTTGCTCACGATATTCTAGTGGACATGAGCAACCACAGCACCATCATTAAACAGGGACCCTATGGGAGCTCTGCATAACTTTAGATCCACATATTGGAATTATGTATAATGAAATCATTTTTGTAATTCAGTAACTTAGCTACATTGGAAGCCATTTGAAAAAAAATGTTACTTTATGTAAAAAAATAGCAAAGCATACTAGAACAAAGCTCTAATGTACATTACCTAATTTAAATGCCAAACCATTTTATTGATAATTTAAATGTAGAAATTGCTGATGCAGGAAAATGCCGCATGATGAATTTGTCAATTGTTTAAAACAGAGAGATTCAAAATTCGGCCCTGTGCTGTTTAATGATGAAGGTAAAGTATGGAGACACATCTTTAGGTTTGATCCTCTGTAAGCAAAACTACATGGCATAGGCCAGCCACTCCACTCAACCTCTTGGTGCAGTTAGGAGAAACGGTAACATGAAGCACACGAAGCTGCAGCCCATGTAACACAGCGCATTATGAGCTTTTAGAAAGAAGCACATTCACTGACCAAAGGGTTGTTATGCAGCACATGGCTGTATTTACATAAATCCTGCTTTGCAAAAATGGAAGGTATCATTTCCTTAATATAAATCCTGGGAGCATGGAGCTCATATAAATATATAAAAATGAAACATTAGGATTCATTTCATATTTCTGCAAAGGAAAATACTTTCTTCTCTTTTGTCTACTATAAGGCACTTAATTATAGCATTATGTAGAACAAACCACTGACCACTAATAAGATATAAGGAATTCTCTATATTTCTTTCAATTATTACTGTCTTGAATATTTATAAACCTGGACTGCACATTTTCCTGCATGAATTATCTATAAATCATGAGTCATATTTTAGCCAAGTAAATGCATTTTCAAAGAATTACCTTAAAAAAAGAAAAATGGGACTTTAAAGCCAGATTTTAAGTAAAATTCCCAAGGCAGTATTTCATTTGAGACACTTTTTTGTGCTACCAGTGAAATAGAAAATCACATGGAAGATGAGAATACTTATGAATTAAGATTAAAAACAATTAAGTCTGTAATTGTGTCCAAGAGGATAAAAGAAATTTTATAAAAAAGTTGTATGTATTCAGAATCAAATTAGCTGAAGAAGAATAATTCCATAAAAATGATTGTTTGTAACTGGTACTAGCAAATAATTATAAATGGAGGTCTAAGCTTGACAATGGGAGATTATTTTAATTTTAGTTCCATCTAATCCCATTAAAATATAACAAAAGAAACAAAAAAAGATAAAATACCCCTCCTCTAATGAAGTAGAAAAAGAGGGAAACTTCAATGTGTACATTATATTGAAAATCTATTAACTACTCTGAAATTGAAAAAAATAGACTTTTTATTAGTTACTTTTCTTGTTGCTGAGACAGAATACCTGAAACTAAAAGTTAAAGGAGCAAGGGTTTATTTAGTTCACAGTTTGTAGAAGTTTCAGTCCATTGTCCACTGGCTCTAAGGCCGGGTGGGTTGGCAGAGGGGCATCACAGAGGAGAAATAGTTCATGGCAGGAAGAGGGTGGCAAAGCAAGCAAGGGATGACCACAACTCTTTCTGTCTCTTATATCTTATCCAGGCTACTTAGGGCAGGAAGCACTCACACCCTTCATCCTGGTGCCCTTGATCCTAGCATAGCTTCATGAATCAATCCCAGCATCACACACTCTAGATTCAGACACCTCTGAAAAAGCCCCACCTGTGACTGCATGAGGCTTTGGGGGACACCTAGACATAGCTGTAATAGACTTTATCAAGAGCTGACCTGTATCTCCTTAGACATGGGAAGGTGAGGGAGCACAGAAGGGTCTCTGGTGATATGTGCAGCGTCAGGTTCCTAACTCAAATGTCTGATGATGCTTTCTAATGTAGAGGTTGGTGGTCATACAAGAAATATGGTTTTGCCTCAGTTTTACATGTTGTAAATCCGGGGGAAATTAGAACAATCATCAGTTATTACCACTTAAGTTAGGCTTTTAGAGAAGATGTCCCAGGGAGAAAAACAGATATTGTAACATAAAACCCCATGAGTGAAAGAAAGAGCTTTAGCTTCTGTTAACCAAATGAACATAAACAACTGGGGAGGGTATGTGTTTTGTTTTGTTGTATTATGTTTTGTGGTAATGGGGATTGATCCCAAGGCCTTCCCACTGAGATACAAACCTGGCCTTTTTATTTCATTTTAAAGTTCTGAGACAGGGTCTGGTTAAGTCACTAAATTTCCTAGGCTGGGCTTTCTACTTTGTGATCCTCCTGCCTCAACCTCTCAGAGTGCTGGGAGTGCAGACATGTGACACCAAACACGTGTGGAAGCAATGTTTGGGAGGGTAATGGAGGCGAGGTGGTCAGTGATCTGGGAAACAGTGGCGAGTTAAAGCTGTGCTATTCCCTGTGCCTCCCTCCCTCTGCACACCATCCCCACTCTCACGCAGCAAGTAGTTAATGTGGGTAACAATATGGAAGGAGCTGCCTCACATTCATGTGTAGCTGTGACCTAATTCAAGGAATGGAGAATGAAATGATTAAAGTGAAGATGGAGAATACAGTAAATCTCAAGAGAGAGGGGAATAATTTAGATAATAGTTCTCCTTACTATATGTGTAATAATACACAATATATTTGGCATGAAGAATGTATCCAACAAAAACAACACATGCACAATTTAGGAAGAAAACTGGAGGACAGCAGCATCAGATAACAAGGAATTGCAGACTAGGAAAGACAAAAGGTGGTGGAGACTTAGACTGCATGAGTGGTGAGCTGAGTGAGAAGTTCTGGGACTCGACATCAATCTCACAAGGAGAAATGGGCAGAACTTTACTGGATCCAAAATGGAAAAGGAGCAAGAGTAGGAACCAATATATGATTGTACAGTACAAAATGATGAAACTAACTATTGTATTGCTATAGAAAGATAGAAAAAGGATTGTGAGTGTTTTTGCATGGTGTGCTTAAGGAGTTAGATGTGTTTAAAATAATTTGAATATTATACAATGTATCTAAACTTCACATGCTGCTCCATAAATATATGTGATTTTTATGTCTTATGTAACAGTTAAAACTAATTTAATTGATTTTAATTAATTTAATTGTAAATAAAGGTCATCAGTTTTTATTTAAAAACTAGTCTCATATAAATAGTTTCTTTTCTATCCGTCCCTCGCTCCCTACTCTCCTCAGCCACAGATTTTATCTTTCACAGTGTCATTTTACTTGGACACATGACTTTTCTAATCAATGTTAAATGATAAAAAACAAACCTACACCAGTGCTCCTCAATTTGCTGTGGGGCTATAACTTGATAAACACATCATAAGCTGAAAATACATTTAATAACTCAGTAAGCCTGTGATGAAGTTGAAAGATCATAAGCTAATCTGCTGAGTCTGTAGTAAAAGACCCAACACAGCTCAAAGCAGCTACTGCTGCTGTGCAGGGCCAGAGTGAAGACTAGCTGATTTAATGA